CCGGGCCGGGCCTGCTGCGCGACAGGCTGTGGGGCTGAGCGCCGGTCGCCAGGTCCTGGCTGGCGGGCGGTGGGGTCGGGGGTCCCCGCTGCGGCCCTTGCAAGCCCTGCCCGGGCCCCGTCCCGGGAAGCGGCCTCTTCGCTCTGCGGGGCTGCGTGGGGAGGCACTGCCTGCCGCGGCGCTGGGAGAAAAGCCCTTCCTGAAGGTACTGTGACACTCGCACTGAAAACTACCTCCAGCCAGAAGCTGTGGCTGCACCGAGGGCCGAGCGCAGCCGTGTCTCGGTTTCCCTGTTGCCCTTGTCTCAGAGCTAAGTCGAAGCCGCCTCTGGAGGGAACGCGCAGCCCGGCGTGAGGCAGTGGAGGTCTGTACTTGGCCTGAGGGAAAGGGACTGGGTACGTGCCTGGCAGCAGGATCCAGTGCGCTGAGTGCCTGGAGGTAGGGCACCGATGGGGAGGCCTGAAAGCTGCACCTCTGAAACTGGGACACTCTTGGTTTTCTTTATGGGACACAAAATGTCCCCGAGGTGGCTGGCCTGTCTACACAGTGCTGTGCAGGGAGATACAGCCTTCGTTGTAGCGGTGCTGACACACCGCAGCCCTAAAATAACCACCTTTCACAGTCCTGCTTCCCTCTACCTGCAGACATCAGGCACACTTCTGTAGCAGAGGCGTTAATCCGGGATGGGGGGGAAGAGAATGAGGGCTGCAGGAAAGGATTTCCCTTTGCTAAGGCTCACAGCCTGGCCTTTACTTTTGAGAGCAGGTGCCTACATACGGCCTATTTCAGTTCCTTCAGAGAATCATTTTCTCCAGTATGCGGCCCCTGGAGGAAGAAGTCCAAGCACCTCCCTCCCCCTGTCATTCTATATCTCCAGTGATCTAAGCACTTGCTTAGGAGCTGGAGATGTGGCTCCTGGTCCTTTTCCCAGAACTTTGTGTTTTGTCCTCTGACAAATGTTTGATGTAAAGTACATGGAGCAGACTTCGAAAAGGGGACTGAAATCCAAGGCTGTTCCCCTCCCTTCCCCATGGCAATGTTATTACTGCTAGGTCATGTCCTCTCCTTGATTGCTCCCATGAATCCTGAATCCCCACCCTCTCCCCCAGGCAGCAGTACGGGTTCAACAGGCTAGATGAAAATAGAGTGTGTGTTAGGCTAGCCTACCTCCTGGGTAAGTTACCCTTCAGGCTAGCCTACCTCCTGGATAAGATACTCTTCAGGAAAGTCAGAGGGAGGCATCTGAAGTCCCTCAGCCAGAAGAGAGAGAAGTTGACCCTGGGTCTTCTGACATGGGGGGCACTGCAAGGCACACAGGGGGAAGGAAGTCCCCCTGGGGAGTTGAGAAAGGGTTGAAAGGGGTTGGTGAAGTGTTAAGCAAAAGCAGTCAGCGGCTCAGCACATGGTGGGGAAGTCAATGATAAGCATTTGCAGCTGGTTCTCTCACCCTGGAGGAACTGGGTGGCTGCTGACTCAGGAGCTGCATCAATTCAGAGGAATGGGAAAGGGGTCACGTTCCTGAGTGCCTGCAACACGCTGCAGTGAGTGATGGGACAGTGATGGACACCTCCTACCTGCTGTCTCCTCTTGGAAGAGTGATCCCAGCAGCGTGCTGTAAGGCGCTAGAGCCTGCTGGTATGTGTTGGATGTGCTCTGAGCAGGCTGCCTGGCAGGGGCTGTGGGTCTCGTCTTGCATGGAGACGTGTCTGAGCTATGAATTCCAGCATTGGGCCCAAGGAGAAGAGAGGCAGGGAGCTGCCCAACGTGGGGTGGTTCTGGGTATGTGAAAGGCAGAATGGCCTGTATCTTGGGATGCTGACAACCTAAAAATAAGGCTTGAGAGCCTTCGGGATTAGGCATCGGTTGAGCAGGGGCCTTTGGGAGGGCAGTTCTGAACTTCAGTGCTTTAGTTCTGCCCTGCTCCTGCTTCTGGTATTAAAGGCCCTACATTCCTTGCTGCTCGTGTGAATGTCACTTAAACATGCTCAGGACATGCAGTTATAGCTAACCGCCCTGCAAACTCCTCCTGGAATCTGAAAAAGTTGAATTCTTCCATTTGTATGCTCCCTCGCCTGCCTTGCAAAATAATTTCCTTCAGTCTAGCAAACCACTGCTGTGTTAAAGGTGTGTATCTAAAGTTGCTCACTGCTGTTTTACCTGTGGAGAGCCAATGACAGCAAGAGTGAAGCCTGATTTTTTTTTTTTTTAATTATTTTTGGGGGGTATGATTTAAGTGAGCACATGTAATTGAATACACACAGAGAAATGATCTGCTGAAGAGCCTGCTGTTTCTAAATACAGTAGCTACTCTTCATAATAGACATGTTAAGCTTAAAACATTTCTAGGCAGAGGTGGTGTAAGCCTTATTTTACCAAAATATATTTTTTCCTAGGAAGAAAACTGGGGAGGAACTGTAGCTGACAGATGTTCAAGTACGTGAAGCTTAAAGAAGAACGTATGCTATTCAGTTTGCTCAGAGAGGCTTTGTGACCTGTGTCTTCGCAGTAATGATGACACAAGCTTTTTTGAATAAAAGGAAGAAATTAACTGCCTTGGCTAATTGTACCCTTGCTAGCTAGCTAACCAAGGACACCATTTGACTGTGAAAATTGTTGCTGCACCCAAATCTCTCAGCTGGGGAGAATATCTGAAGAGAGAGTGTTCCCATATCTGTGGGTTAGAAGGGCTATTAAAAAAATCTTCCTAATTGGAAAATTAAACACTCTTGCTTTAAAACAGTGGTGCACTGCTTTGAAAAATTAAGACCATATGGAATCATTTATTACTTTTCAATATGTATTCAGTCTCTGGTGCAATTTTATGTACCCGCTAATGCATAAAGTCTTTTGGAGATGGAATAAAGCACCACAAAGCATGATTTAATGCTATAGGGTCACCAAATCTGTTTCAGATTACTGGATGTTTCAATCTGCTAAAAAGAAGGGTATGTCCCTGAACCAATGAAACGGCGGGGGGGGAAAGCCCGTAAATCTGAAGCGCTGTGGAAATATAGTGCACATATCAACAAAAACTTTTAAAGGATTCAGTGGGGATTTGGTCATGTAAGAGATACAGTTATGAAACAAATTATTCTAAGTAACAGGAAAGTTAAAGTTAGTATTTATAGCACAATACTTGGTTGCAATTTAAGGCGTCTTAATGAATCATGTTTTCAAACAGTACAGGCCCACATAAGCATGTGACTGTAAGAGAAAATAAGAGCAAGTAATCCGGGAGTGCACAAAAGTGCTTTTGTTTGTAGTTCTGCGGTCACTGGAAGTGCCTATTCTTGTGCTTATTCACAAACACCTCTGGCTCTTTCTTCCAGAAATCCTATCCAAACGTTTTTGTTCTGACTTTGTTAGAGGCGGACTTTGTTCTTCGGTTCTTTTCGTAGGACTTCTGTGAGGTTCAGACTTACGCCGTCCGTCCTCTGGCAAGGGGCTGTGATGGGTTGGATGCCTTAGCAGCTTTTTTTTATTTTGCTGAGTGACAAGCCGTGGGGCAATCTTTGGTCTCAGGGCCTGGGCATTTTCCTTTCACTGGTTCAGCAGGGACCAACAAGAAGAGGCTGGAAAGTTAACCATGTATGGTTCGTGCAACCTGGCAATGAGCTCTGCAGGTTTGGGGGGCAATCTCTATGCTTTTATCATGAACCTGCTAGCAGTATAATTGTCTGGCTAGTTACAATTTAACAGAAAATCCACTTTTCATCTTGCTGTGGTGTTGTGCTTTCTTTTAAATGTTATCTGTAGAGTCTCCCAGCGAGTGGGAGCTTCAGTTTTGCTTTGTATTTCTTACAGATACTGACACAAACTTTTTCATATGGACGTGGTCCACTAGGTTACTGAAGAAGAGCCAGATTCTTTCTTAAAGCCCTAAGCAAGGTAAAAGGGGTGTGCAGTAACTTTTATATGTCAATCAAACTATTTCATCAGTATATATTTGTCATTTATAACCAGTAGATTGTTTCTTTTATTCAGATTAAAGTCTTACATTTTTAGAAGAGTTATTAAGCAAGTAAATTAATCTTCAGTTTTCCTGTAACACTGAAGCTTGTTCATCACTGTTGTGCCTTCCATCATTCTGTAAACATTTAATAATCGATAGTAGGAATTTCAAATAAGTTCAGATCTCTGGTTGAAAATAAGAGTATGCATGCTTCTTCTGGATCAACACCTTAACATGACCTCTCCTGCCTGCTCAAATTGTAGCATCAAAATAAAATTCTTCAGGCAAAATGAAGCCAGTGAATACATAATAAGGATTAAAACAAGTATCATGAGAAGTAATTGCTGTCTTCAGCTAACTATTATCCAGATCCAGTATTTTAGCCATTGAAAAATTGTAAATAAAATCCTATTTAAAGTCCTTTAAAACTTTCCTGGGAGTAGCTGTCACTTTAGATATGTATTCCAACTTTAACTTGTATATATGACTGGTAAGACTACTACTTGCCCATAGATGGCAATAGCATTACACTGCTGAAGTAGCCCCCAGCCCATGAAATGAGGCTGTGATGGTGGTGAATATTAACTTGGGGAATGGAAAGAAAAAATATCTTGCCCTTTTTTTGGCTGCAACAGCGGTGATGGGGACTGTTCTACTTGCAGGAATGTTGGGACTAATCATGTGAGAAAAGATCCTGGAGTGATGAGGCAGCATATTTCCCATGTCTGAGGTCAGGATTTGTTCTGTGAAGCTGACCTTTAAAACAGCCTGAAAATGAGGAACATGGCACCAGAGTGCTGAGCAGGAAGCATGAAATGATGTAAGATATGTTTCTTCTGCATATGAAATACTTTTTTTTTTTTTAAAGCTCCAGGTTTGTGATTCAGCATTTTCTGCCACTGACAGAATATAAGAAAGGGAAAAATCCTTTGGAAAAAGAGAAAGTTCTTATTGTTCTAGTCAAAATCTATTAAAATATTAGCCATCAGATATTTTTGTTCCCTTTTGTTGAGTTGGGGGGAGATTATCTTTTCCCAGAATCATTCTTCCTTCAACCTCCTGATCTGACAACCCTGGAATTGTAGAAGAAGTGGTATTTAGGCTTAGCCTGGACACCTCATCTACCTATAACATGTATGAAGTGCCATCAGTTTTGTTGGCACTGGATACCTGGGTGACTGCTGTTTTGACTCTGACAAGCGACAGCAGGACAGGCCTGCTATGAGAAAGCTTTGGGGTGCTGGTGCTGGGTGAATGTTTGATGCAGGACAGGCAGCTCAGGGACCCACCAGGGCTAAAGCATCAGCCTGGGTGAGGTTGCCAGCCTAGGTTTGGTCCCAGCTGCATGGTGATGCAAGGCCTTAGACACAAGCCCTCCTCTCTGAGCTTATGCAAAAATGCCTTTTCTTCCTGTGTCCTTTCTCTTGCTGAGCTGCATGAGGCTGCACTGAGAGACCTGATGTGCCTGCCAGAGGCTCTGCTGCGATGGAAGTCTTGCCTCTCCAGGGTCAGTGCAAGCCCTTAAACCACCACTGAGCAGGAAAAGGGTGCCCCTAGCCAGTTGCCACCTCTCTGATCTGAAGCCTTGCTGACCTGTCAGGAAAGAAGGTTCAGAAGGAGAAAGCGAGGGAGTTGCTTCATCCTTCTCCCTCCTTGGAGGCTGGTTCTGTGTTAAGATGGTGTTTATCTCTAAAGGGGATAAACACCCAGTAAAGGGGGCGGTGATGGGGCGCACTCCAAGGTACTGTTGCTCAGCTGGGTCCCTGGTGAGACTCCAAAATGGTCCTTGGCACAGTGTTGACCCAGGCTGATAGCACTTTCTCAAACAATTCCCCGGCATGGATGTAAAATGTTTGGCTGCAGCCAGTCCACTTTGATGGATAAGAGGGTTTAACAGCCTGGACACGTCTACTTTGTGCCCGTTGGCTAGTTTATCCCTGTGGATGTGGTCTGGGTGTGCCTGGGGTGATCGCTGCTCAGAGTGGCACCCTGCTCAGGGGCAGCCTTGCTTTCCAGTGTTGAATCACGTCATGGTGAGCAAGCAGGGACACATCCTTGTCATGGTTTCTCTTTACCTGCTGAGATGGTAGCACCAGTGAAGGTGACTTATGGCTGGTTTTCAGTTGGTCTAAATGCCAGCCAGAAGGAAGCTGGCTTGCATCTGCCTAAGACTCTGAATATTTTATTTTTTTTTTTAAGAGTCCTAAGGGACAAGCAGCTGGATATGAGCATGTTGTGTATTTGTGAGACCGGCACTGGAATGACTTGCATGTTTTAAATTGATGTTGAAAAATGGGTGGCGGAACATTGGAGCCACACAAAATGATTCAGAGCCTGAAGAAAATGTCTTGCAATGGGAGACGTGAAGCACTCGCTCTCTCTAGCTTATCAAAAAAGACTAAGCAGGGAATTGATTATGATGGTGAAGGAACTTCCTTGGGAGAAAAATACCAGGTACTGAAAGGCTCTTTAATCTAGCAAATTATGGGAATGTGTAGCAGCAAGCTGAAACCAGATAAATGCATATGAAAAACTGGGCACAAATTTATTGGAATGAAGGTGATTAATCACTATAACAAGCTGTCAGGGTGGATGGCCTGTTTTCCAGATGTGTCTGAGCCAAGACAGGCTTGTTTCTGATGGATGTGCTCTGACCGCAGTTAAAAGTGTGAGTGACACTGTAGTCAAGTCTCAGACAAGGTAACCAGGTGAAGTTTTGAAGGGCTGGGATATGCAAGAGGTCTGACTAACAGTTCCCAAAGGAGCCGCGAAGATCTAATGGTTCCCATCTGTCCTTAACCTCTCAGAAACTGAGAAAAACAGCACTTAGCAGAAAGTGGAAGGGAAGAATCAAAATGACAGCCCCGTTGCTAGCACACTAATGTGTCCTCTGTTTCTGCAAGGATTGTCTTTTTTACCTGCTCAGGGCTTTACTAATGTATTCTCAAAATCTATTGCAAGACCAATCTTTCTCCAGCCCACAAGCCCTCTGTTCGGATTGGTGTCAGTGTCTTTCATCTTAGGAGAGCATGAGTAAAAATTCATGATGTGCAGTGGCTCATGTGGTAGCTCAGATAAGTAGTTTTCTTTTTGTTTGTTCTTACTTCATCTTCTTGAGCTTTGGACTCGCCTATTCTCCATGCCTCCTTGTTTCCCTAGTATCCATTTATTTGTATTGCCTTTGCCACCAGGCTCAGCACACTGTGCTGTGTTGATAATCTGTGGTGCAGTACATCTTGGAGGCTGCTTCTTACTCAGTCTGGCACCATTTGTTCCTCATAATTCGACAAACTCCCCTGTCTTTCTTGCACAGATTTCACACAGGATGGGTATGTCAGTGATGTGCTGTGTAGATAAGAGCTTGTCGGGAACTTTTTCATAAAGTGCTTTTCATCCAGAAGTATAAATTTGTAGATGCTGTAGCTATTGACAAGAATGCACTGAGGTATCTGCAAAATACCTGCAATCTGTATCTAGAAAAGTGCTCTAATCTCATTCTAAAAACAAGACTTCTCTCCTGAAAAACCAGTTGGTGGCGGAAATCAAGAATTTCTCATTCCTTGTTGCCTTTTCTGGGGTCCCAGTGCTTTCCTGCTTCCTCCCCATCTGCTTGGGATGATGCAAGAATTTCATTCGCTCAAGCCCTAAGTCAAGTTTGCTGGCTTCTCCTTGTTCCAGAAGGTGATTTTATACAAAGTCAGAGCTGAAACAAGGCAAATGAAGGGGTGGAGTTTTTGTACAGTTGTCATCCAGTTGTCACCAATACCCACAAGCCATTAACCTGGTGCATGGACTCTGGAACATGGAAAATTAGAAGCAGAGCCTGTGAGAGTTATGAACTTATTTTTAAATGGAAAACAAATATACTTTTAAAGAAATGTTTCAATTTTTATTTATTTTTTAATTTTTTTTAAGGAAATGCAAGTGGTTTTCCAGTCAGTTTTCCAGAGGCCCACATGCCTCTGGGAAGCAGTAGAAGTATCTGCATGAGCAAAGAGCTCCAGTGTAGGAAGATACAGAGGATGTAAGAAGAATAAGGCTGTAGCTGGAGGGATGGAAGTGGCCTAGTCAGGGCACTAGGTGACGTTCTGGGGTGGTCGCTGTTACTTGCAAAAACAGCAACCGAAAACAGACCTAGGCAAGAGCTGATCCAGACTATTCCCAGCCTTGAGGGCACATTCAGTTTTGGAACTGAAGGACTCATGTTTTAGGCTGAACTGAAGCCATGAGTCTCAAACTTCTTCAAAACTCTGAGGAGATGCTGGTTTTGACCTCACTCTGTAGCTTGAATCCATTTGCTTATTCACCAGCCAGATAAAGGTTATTCCCAGAAAAAGATCTACCTTTGCTCTCTGGCTTAGATTATTTTGCTGTTGCCAACCCCCCAACACCCCCGAAACCCCCCACAGTTTTTCTGCTTTTATATGCATATCCTGCTGCTAAATGTGAGTAAAACAAGCAGCTAGTCCTTTTACTCTCTTTCCTTTCAGCTTGTTGATTGCAGGATTCAGTAATACGCATAGTAATGTGTAATTGAAGGATTGTGGCTTTGCCCAGCTGGTTTAGATGTCACCTCTAAGCTCATACTCAAAAAGACCTACCTATTCTGAGCAGCGTGGGAAGCTCTCCAGGGCCCAGAATGTGAGAAGTAATCAATTCTTGTAGAAACGTTTCTGTGATGCTGTGGAATCCAGCCAAGAGACATGATGAAAGTGAAAACTCTTTTCTAGGACATCCAGTTTCATTTAATTTTGTCATGCCCATAGAACCTTTCAGCAAATGTCTGTATCCTTCTGTGTGTTGATTGTGTCCTGTGTTCTTCTGTGATTTGGTTACCCTGGCAATCCAGCTAATTTTCTAGAAAAGTCAGCTCCATCAAAGTTCATTGACTTGTTATATTAATGGCCTGCTTGCTCCTTCAGTAAACTTAAGCATC